GGGAAGCACGACAGCAGGTTTGGTTTGCCGTGGTTGGGATTTGGTGGTTTGGACCCTGGGATAAAAGAAGAAGAAGAAGAAGAAACCAAAAATTGCAAGCACATGTCGTGGTTAGCTTTGGGGATCGGCGACCCCGGATTTGGGTGTTCTAGAAGGGGAGTACAAGAGTGATGACACATGCATGCATGGCTTGCTTGTGTGTCGAGCGGTGGTTTGATAGGGTGTTTTTCTGTTTTTTTCCATCCGCCCGGTCGGGACCTGCCACTTGCCTTTGCCTTTGCCTTTGCCTTTGCTGATATCCATGCCCTTTCTTTCTTCTCCTTGGCTTTGGCTTTTGTCACTGCTTCCTTGGTTAAAACAGAGAGGGCGGGCTTATTCATGGCCTGTCAGTCAGTCACCGGGCGGCGGGAGGGGGCAGCGATAGTAAAACGTGACGGGGGTTGGCGCTGAGGCCGGTTTATTCCCTAGGCGGGCACGGGCTCCGAAGTGTCGATTTTGGGGATTTTGGACCGGGAAAAGGCTTTTTTTGTCTTGTCTTTGGGGCGGGATACGGAGGTGGGCTTGTGATGTGATATGTCATGGTTGAAGAAGGGGTGACTCCACCTTGTTCCCTTGCAACTCGAGATTCCACCGCAACAAATCGGCCAGGTGGATGGCACCTTCTGAGAGCAAGATCCGGGGAAAATGTCTTGGTCTTTTTCTCTCTCAACGGGGGGGGGGTGCTTTGCCTTTCCCCAGGGTGTCAGTCAGTCACTTGTCATTCATGTTGTTGTGGGTGAGAGCCCCACTTTCCACCCAACACACCCATTCTCACAAGCAGCAGCATCATCGTCATCGCTCGCTTTCGCTCACCCCTCATTTCTCATCCTACTCCCCTTCCTCCTGTTCAGCCATACGAGAAGCGAGGAAAGCGGTCGTCCAATCCAGTTCTGTCCGGCCAAGTTCGAGGGCACAGCGGTCAAAAAGATTCTAGAATGCTACACTGCATGATGGAGCCTGTGCTCGCCACTGTTGTGTCATAGGATACGCGTATCTCGTTTTTGTTTGTCTTCCCCATCATTATCGCGCTCATGTTAGTCCTGAGTGGTGGTCGGCTTCTCGGTTAAGGGCAGGCAGGAAGGAAAGGAAGCGTTCCCGGGCTTCCTCTTCCCAGTTGTTTAGTGCGAAAAACTGAGGGATTGACCATTTTGGACTGGCTCGTCGGTGAGCCAAAAGACCCAAGATGCTGCCTTGGTGCGGGGGGAGACGTCCTCGATACGGGGACGGGCTTATCTTTCTTCTTCTTCTTCTTCTTCTTCTTCTTCTTCTTCTTCTTCTTCTTCTTCTTCTTCTTCTTCTTCTCCCTCCCCAAGTGGAGAGGGGATGCTATCGGTTAGGTATCTTATCATCTCTCATATTCCTTCCCGTCTTTCGGCGTCAGTTTCTTTCTCTTTTTGTCCGTCTGCCTCTGGGAAAATCTCGTGGTGGTTGTTCAGCCAAGAGGCCGAGGGATGGGGGATGGCAGTCCCGTTATGCATGCGCGCCGGAGTGGTTCAGTTCATGCTGATGTGGGAAGGTGTCTTGCTCGATCAACCAATTATCAGCTGTATTCTGATTCTAGGCTAGGCCAGGAAAGCTTTTGATGATGGCCTCTTCTAGAACATGTCCTCGATCAGGTTGTGTATAGTTACACACCATCTTTCCTGCCTGCACCAGTGATAAGAATCTCAAGATTATCATGTTTTCCCTGGTCCTAGTCTACCCGAAGAAGCACACTGCAGACGATGCAGACACGGCTGATAATTGTGTTTCTTGAACAGACGAAAATTCTGCAATCAACTTTGCATGTCAGTGTGCGTTGCAACAGGAATGGGCTTTGGGGCCTAGGCCGGCCTGTGTAGGTTTTCGATCCCCACGCAACGCATGCTATGCTGGCTTTCTTCAACTGGTCAAGTATTAGGTACTTTCTGCCTGTCAAAGTCAAAATGTCTCAAGCCGATGTTCTAGATACAACCAACAACATGGTTTCATGCAGCCAGGAACCAAAACACCTCAGCTGTCTAATCTCACGAGGTTGGTAAAGCTGAGAAGTGAAGGCATCACGAACTTTCCGCTCCCGCTCCCATCACCACCAACCATATATGCACACATACACATGCAAAGCCAGGAAGTAGTTCCAAGCAAATTAGCTAACCAGCACGTTGTCCCGCTTGGCACTTGGCCGTCGATTCTTGGATATTGTGGCTTGCTGGCTTGCTGTAGTTCGTCCTGCGGATTATCGTGAAGGGTGGGCAGTGCTCCAATGAGCGGTGCAACCGGTCGGGCCCGACAGACGACGGCCTACCATCGAGTCCGACCGAGCATGGGAGAGTGAGAGTGACCGCCACAGAGCGCATGTCACGCACCCTCTTCATCTAGATAGATGAAGACGGCGATGCAGTCCAACACGTGAGATGCAGATAACCCTAGAGAGAAACCCTCAGAATACTTCGACCCTCAGAGGAGAAGGACTATGACGGGTCAATTCGGGTTGTGTGTAATGGGGGCTCCATGTGAAGTGGACATCAGGGAATGAGTAGGGGTTGCCAGTGGTTACCACCCACGCTGCGGACAAGGTGACTGGCACTGCAAACGTGTTTAACTCTGAAGGTACCATGGTGAGACTTTGTCCAATGGGAAATGAGGCCTGTTCTCAAGATCCCCAATCATGAAGAAGTGGGTGTTCCGCATTTCCACTGATGGATGGTCTGGTCGACTACCCCTGAAACGCCCCTTAAAATCCCAAACAAAACAGAGTGCATTGAGCATCAGCATGGCAACAACAGTATCGGAGAGGGAACATATTTTAGCTGAAATACATAACCACGTTAGTAAATACTCATCCACGGAAACTTTGACATGGCTGTTCAAATCGAATGAACGATAACTGCGATGGCTTGAAGGGTTGGAGTAACACAGCTCAGATTTTTTTCCGGGATACCCTCTGTGCCCTCATCATGAAAGCCCAAGCAACCCAATAATAAAAATTCAGGGGATGAACCTTTATGGGTAGCCGGCTTCCAATTTGTGTGGTCATGGCAACCAACAACCCCAGTGCTCTCACGACCAGTCCACGCACTTCTTCTCTTTGGAATACCCCAACTTCGGCGTTTCCAGTTCCAGTGCTGAAACTGCCTGCCCGGAACCCCCGGTTGGCTCCAAGCCAAAGGCAAGAGCGAATAAAGATAGCTACACTCTTGATGGCCATGTCTAGCTACACCTGTAACCACCGTGTCACAAAGCTTCCTTCCATCTATCATCCAAACTCCTCCATCATCAACCAGCTCTTCAACCCTCTCCCATCACCCCCTCCAGACCTGTTTCCCCTTTACCCAATGAGGCCGTTTCTCTTACACTTGGACAACTTTACTCAAGTAACACTCTAGACAACACATAGTTTAAAATACTGACCCTGTTGGCCATCACACTCCTCGTCTTGACACGCATCTCCTACATTCACTACCAACAAGACCCACTCCCCTGATATTCTCGACAGCAAGGTGCTCGAGACATCGAGGTGTGCGAGACATCAAGTGATGATCTCGACTTGACTCTGCATCATCCCGAAACGGTACACACCCTCCCTCTTGATGCCCCTTCTGCCCAAACCACCACTCCTCGATCCCCTCCTAGTACCCTCAACAACAAAGCCGTCCCTCACACGATCCCCCCTCGCCGACACTGTACACTCCCCCCCCTTCGTTGCACAGTGCCTTTCCCTCCAAAATGTCCGACAACAACAACCCTCCCGACCCTGAACTTTGCCAAGCCGAAGAAGGATGAGGCGGCTATCAGAATCGTCGAGGAGGCAGAACGAGATGCTCGGCGTCGGGCGAAAGAAAGGAAAAAAAGGCAGCCGAGTGGTTGCAAGAAGCTGGTGGCAAGAAGCCCGACAGAAAATGGGCCTGAGGTCTACATACTAACCTAGCAAGCCCTCCGCAGTGGCTTGCTAAACTGGATCTTCTGGCATCCTACTTTAGTTTGTTTTGGAGGACTTGTGCTGTATTCAGCTTTTGCCCTTTGGAGACCTGTGACGCAAGTTGGAGTGCAGCATAGCCGGCCAGAAAGAAAATCAGTCAACAGGGACCATTTGATTCAGTTATTTTTGGACTTTGTATTCAGCTGCCTTGGCATCAATGTGTTGTGGGAGCCTGGTCTATTCTTTTGCTCATAAATCTTCTTTTAACCCCTTAGCCGTGTCGCTTTTCACTCCTGAATCTGTTCGCTGGAAGGGGAATTGTGTTGTTGTTGTTGTTG